AATGCTCACACCTAGTATTTAGAGAGTGTGATTACATTAAAAATCAAATTAGAGGGTAGGAAGTAGTCAGGAATCCATGGTCCAGCCACTTTCAGGTTGAAGGAGGGGTAACTTTTACACTTGCAGTTTTCTGGGCAAAAAGATACTCTTCAAAAGATCTTTGCCAGGCTGAATCCCTGTTACCAGCTGGGCTAGGTTCAAATGCCATCTCTTAAGAGAACCCGTCCCTAAACAGCCTGTCTTAAGTAATTCTGTCATAGGGCTTCCCTGATAGTTAGCTCAGTTGGTAAAGAATCCACCTGCAATGCAGGGGACCCTGGTTTAATTCCTGGGTTGGGAAGATCCACTGGAGAAGGGATAGGCTACCCACTCCAGTATTCTTGGGCTTCCCTTGTGGCTCAGCTAGTAAAAAATCTGCCTGCAATGCGGGCAGCTGGGTTCAATCCCTGGGTTGGGGAGAGCCCTTGGAGAAGGGAAAGGCTACCCATTCCACTACAGTCCATGGGGTCACAAAGAGTTGGACACGACGGAGTGACTTTCACTTCACTTTCACTTTCACCAAGAAAGTCTTTCTTTAGCACATGGCCCTGTTCAGAGTCTTCAAAGTGATTTTCACCACTTGAAATGATCTTTTATTGCTATTTTTTTCTTGTTAAATGTCTAACTAGAATATAAGTTATACTGCAGGAGAACTTTTTGTCTGCAGCATTCTCCACTCTATTTTCAGCATTCACAACAGCACTTGGAAACCAGTAAGCAAAACTTTTGAATGAATGAATGAGACAGAACCAAACTGATAGTCAGAGATATTTTCACCTGTGAATTTTTGAATGTGTACTTTTATACAAGTGGATAGCTCATTACGGATATTTGAGGAGCTGTGTGCCAAACCAAACAATACCTCTGATAAAAATGTTTTTAAAATGTGTGATTACTGCTCTATTTCCACTCTGTCATTTTTCACAGATTTCAAATATGTCATAAAATATTATTGGGTCAGGGACCATGCAGGCCACCAGATGGTTCAGAAGGATTTATTTCCTTGATTTCAGACTGCTGAAGAAAGATTACAGGAAGAAAGTCAGTTCTTATCTCTAAGCTTACAGAATATGAAAGATAAAAGGGACCTTGAAGTTCATCTAGTCCAGATTCACTCTTAATTTAAAAATCCATTCTACCCACCAATGACATAGTTATCTGACCTTGACTTTAATATTTTTAGTGATGAGATACTCACTGTTTTACAAGAGAACCTTTATCTCAATTGGACGGATTTTGATGAGCAAGGTCTTCCTTCTATTGATTCAAAATTTCCTTCCTGTAACTTCTGGCCCTTGGAGCAACAATGAATAAGTCTAGTTTCTGTTCAGAATGATGAACTTTGAAATATTAGGAGACATCAAAATATCTCTTTTTAGTACTTACTATTGCAGAATAAATTTCCTGAATACCAATAGCTGTTTCTCACTTGTTTACCCTTTTAGACCCTTCATAGTTCAGGTGGATAATCTCTGGGCACACTGCAATTAGGAAACATGTTCTCCAGGGCAGAGAGGAATTAACTCTTATTTTTAATTATGGATTTAATTGTATTTGTGCCATAAAGCTACTAAGTGATCCACTTTTGTAAGTCAGCTATACATATAATTATGTGCTATATCATTACCAATATCAGCATCTGTTATTAATTATAAAATGCAAAAGCAGATTACTCTGATATAATGAACCTCTATATCTGCTGGAAGTCTGTCTATAGAACATCCCAGAACTGATATTGTCAGCTTGCTTTTGAAAGTCTTTGACGAAAATATGAAAAAACCTTTTAAAATAATATGGATCATCAATTTGCCCATGCACAATAGTGTAGCTCTTTTTAATCTTAAAATTCATGTAACAGCAATTATAGACATCCTGAAGTAAAGCACCTCATTAAAATACTACCAGCAAAAGTGAATTGCATTTTTAAAGCAAAAAATTTCATTAAATATTTAATTAACTGCTTCTCAACTAAGTAACAAAACTGAAGTGAATCTGTCCATATTCAGATTTTATAGGAAGATGTAAATTCATCCATGTTTTGTCATTCTCAAGGATCAATATTGGTTATAATCATGTTAATAGTATTAATCACCAAAGAAGGTAGAAATTATTACATATGTAGCCCAATAATTTCACATATTGACTTCCTACTCCTAAGAATTAACAAATGGATTAGATTAAGTTCACACTAGGAACACTGATAGGTTTCAATTCATATGTCTACATTCACATCTATTCTGTAATCATCTGGGGCTTTTTATGGATTTTGGTTTTGGATTTTATTCTGCAATTTTTTTTTTAAATCCCAGGAGGCAGCACTCCCTGGGGTTCACATTTCAATAAGTAAATGTCTGTCTGTAGTTATCTGTTTTGCTTTTTTTAAAACCTAGTGGTGAGTTATAATGTATTGGAATATCCACAACTATGTCTGCATTTACTATTATCTTAGAAATATTTAGCACAACCTCCTGTTTTATGAAATCAAAGACATTAACTGTTGAACTTATTAGGTGACTATCCCTACTATAGATACCAACAAATATTCAGATTTCACCCCCCAAAAAAGATGTAGCATATCACTAAGGAACTCAAGAGACACTGAACAAATAATTCTTTGTTCAATATATCTTGTATATTCCTTTTCATTCAAAGTCAAAATGCTACTAAGCATAGTATGCTTAAAATGATAACATCCAAACACAATACTTCCCAGTAGTGTGGGGCATGACTACAAGTATTTTGATTATCCTTTAAAATAAACAACCTGAGTTATTTAGCTGCTTCAACAATTCTCGGCCCCTCCAAATTCATATGTTAAGGCCCTAACCCCCAGAACCTCAGAATGTGATCTTATTTGAAAAGAGAGTCTCTGCAGATAGAGTTAGTTAAGATGATGCCATAGCAGAGAAGGATGGGCCCCTGGTCCAATGTGACTGGTGTCCTTATGAAAAAGGGAAACTTGGAGACAAATGCAAACAGGGAGACTGCCATGTAAAGACAAAGGCAGAGACGTGGGTGATGCTTCTACAAGCCAAGAAATGCCAGTGATGGACAGCAAACCACCAGAAACTGGGGGAGAGGCACAGAACAGATGTTTCCTCACAGGTATCAGCAGGAACCAACCTTGCTGACATCTTCATCTCAGACATACAGCCTTTAGAACTGTGAGTCAATAAATATGTTTTGTTTAAGCTACTCACACTGTGGTGCTTTCCTACCTTACGAAGACTAATACAATTCTGAATCTCTTAAAAATATTTGGCACTTCTCTCTGTGGCATGTCTTCAGAGCCCAAAGAACTTTATTTTGGATATCTTAAATGTGACATAGCCTTGTCCTCTCAGATGAATTTTTTAACAGCCAAAAGTTACTCATATTTAAGACATGTATGAGATGAAGCACTTGTGTGGGTAATCCAGCATCTTTTTCAAATTTGTTAATTTACACTATAAATTAATAAAACTGATTTTCTTTTTGGGTATCTTTACAACTGACTTTAGCAGATGGCCTAAAAGATGTTTGGAAAAATAATAGTATTTCCAGGGAAAAACAGATACGTGTTGTGTGTGTATATCATATTATGAATGGTGTCAATTGTTATTTTTATGTTAAGATGATTTGTGGTACCCAGATGCTTGACTGGTGAGGTATCTGGGAAATGATCCCAGCTTCCCTTCCATCTGATTTACATTTTGAGCCTCCATTCTAGATCAAGACTACAAAACCTTCCACAAAGATGTTTATATCTGTGTGGTCCTACATAGGAACTGCTAGTCCCAAGTAGCTGTGGAGCACTTAAAACGTGGCTAATGCAACTGAGCAAATGCAATTTTTATTTGATTTAATTTTAACTGAAACAGGAACATGTAGCTATTGGCTGGTAAAGAATCCAACTGCAATGCAGGAGACCTGGGTTTGATTCCTGGGTCGGGAAGATCCCCTGGAGAAGGAATAGACGACCCACTCCAGTATCCATGGGCTTCCCAGGTGGCTCAGATGGTAAAGAATCCACCTGCAGTGTGGGAGACCTGGATTCAATCCCTAGGTTGGGAATATCCCCTGGAGGAGGGCATGAAAGCCCACCCCAGTATTCTTGCCTGGAGAATCCCCATGGACAAAGAGCCTGGCGGGCTACAGTCCATGGGGTCTGGAAGATTCAGACATGACTGAGCGACTACGCACAGCACAGCTATATTGGAATGATGTAATTCTAGATTTTAATTTGAAAATAGGATTCCCCTAACAAAGTTTGAAAGTCACCATTAAAAATGAAGGAATAGGAAAGCTTCTGCTAACAAATGAATAACTGATGATTCTGACAAATTCTCCCAGAAAACGTAACTATGAAAGTTTCTTGGCCACTTGACAACTGATTTGAATCCTAGTGAGCATCTGTCATTAAACTAGCTAAAACTAACATCACTGATCATTAACCAGCAGGGGGACCTGAAGACTTGAGGACGGCATTTTCTCTGGGGAGTGGAGAGAAACACAGAGTTTTGTGTGTGTGTGTTTTGTCATTTTTGTTTTGTTTTGTTTTCTTCCTTTCCCCCCCTCCTCCCATGTTTTAGTATATACAGAAGCCCTAAATACCTATTCTCTTCAGGAACTCCAAACCTTGTCTTCCTGAAAATCCAGAGCTAGTCACACACTCTGCACGTCTATTTTAAAAGCACGCTTAGGAGGGAGCGATGGAGGTTGGTTCTAGATGATGCAGTTCAAACTCCAATTAATTCTAAAGCCTAATCTTTCCCAATTTTCTTTGTTAAAATGTGATCAGTATTCAGACTTTTATATTTATTTTTAGCTTGGTTCCCTTTCTTTACATTTCAGAGGAAAAAATATTTCAACTTCTTTATACTTACAAAGAAGAGGAAAATTGCATTGGCCTGTTGTTGGTTCTTTACTTCCATGGTAAGTAAGTTGGTTCTTTACATTCCATGAATGACACATGGCCTTACCTCTTGATAGAGGTCACTGAGATCTTCCTGGTGGGCCTGTTTGGAACATCCTGGGAATTCCCTAACACAACAGGAATCCGGGGGCCAGTCCATCTCTGTCATTTCCAGCCAGTCGGTGAAATAGACAACTCCACAGCACTTGAACTGCAAAAGAATGACTGGTCAGGCTCAGAAACAACAAAAATATTTTCTTAACTTTTGGGAGATTAAACGTTAGATTTCTTAAATTTTTGCACTCAGAGCTAAAGTCACTTCTGTCATCACCTAATGATATGTGCACATTCTATGTTGACAACAAAAATGTAGGAGAGGACTTCATAATGGAACAATTCTGAACAATAATGCCCATAATGCATGAAGACAGATCAGGCATGACTGAGACTCACTCTCCAAGTATAAGCTCCTCTACAAGTGATCATAGAGCAATCGTATTAATACACATAATAACAAAACAAATAGCTGAAATCTTGCATTTAATATTAAGCCTCTAGCTACTAGGGAATAGTTGATCAATCTATTTGCATATTGCCTAGTTACCGACTTAACTGCTTCACAAGTTCAAATATTATACTAAATGTTTCTGCAATCTCTGTAGAAAGATTTTTGGCCAACAGCCCGCATCACAAATATTACCCAACTTGAGTTCATTAACCACTAAATTTCCAAAAATTTCTGAGATATAAACATAGGTTTGGCTGACAAATTTTTATTCAATTGAGAATCTTGAAAAAAGCTGTCATATCCTATCACCATAATCTCAGAAAAAATGATGTGCTTTTAGCTTGAATAAAGTTGGGTTTAAGACAAACTAAAGTTTTTTGCTTTTTGTTTTTTTCAGTCTCATTTCACCAAGTATTAACAAAAACTTTCTTTGGCCAAGGTTTAGAAACACTGCTTAAGGACATATTTAGATTAGATTCAGAGTAATTAACTATGAAAACTTTCTGCCCTTGGGTAGAGGAGGATTACTCTTCCAACAGTCAGAAAGAAGGACTATGCATGGGCAGTCACTGAGAAGAATTCTGCCAGAAGCGGCTGGCTTTGCAAATTATGTAGGCCAATTGATCAATCTGTGTTCAGGATTAACACTGCATCATAAAATATCACAACCCACCATTTCAAAATTTATCTAAAATAAACTTTAAAGGATTCTGAACTTCTTTTGTGAAATGAAGCAAGAGATGATTTAACATGTTTTCAGTTGTTTAAACTTCTAATTTTGAAAGAGAAAAAAAATCATCTTGAATACTATAAATGATGAATCACTGATGCTATGAGTAATATTAAATTTTCCAAGAAACTTAAGAAATAATTTTAGTATTTTCTTTTTATATATTTTTGTCTAAAAGATACAAATATACCACAAACATCACAAATTAAGGCAAACATTTTAATACCATATATTTCACCTGTCATTAAGTATCCATAAGAAAACACATATAGTAAAAATGACTACTTTCCCAAAATCATAAACTACTACATTTCCAAGTTAGTCTTTTTAAATCCCTGCATGCAGAGGAAACCTACTTCTCATTTCCTAACATCGTGTGTTTTTCTGTGTTGATGACAGGAGGACAGTTCTGGAAACACTCTGACTCCATCCACAATAGAACAGTCCATTTATCTGGCCTTGTCACGAAGTGAGGGGCAGCACAGAAATGACTTTTCCAAATAATTTAAGCATTTCATGTTCTGGGCCAAACACTTTTTTATTTTAATAAGTCACTGAGATATTGTTTCTTTTTACATAGTTGTTTTTCTTCATCAATAGAAGATACTGAATTGATACTGAAATTCTTCCTGAAAACTGCCTTATGATGCAAACTCATTCTTAAGCCGTACATGACTATGGACTACATCTCCTGAGGCTATTCCTGCCTCCTGTAGTCACATTGTGAGATGGAATCACTGCTCTAACAGGTTGTCAAACTGGAAAATCCTACCACCATTTCAGGTAAGCAGAACCACAGGCTCTGATGAACAGGTCAAGTAAGTTACCAAGATCACCAATCAGTGAGTGATGGAGCCTATTCATTCCCAAGCCTAAACTCCCACCTCTATGTTTAAAAAAAAATACATTTTTAGCATCAGCTTTTTTTTTTTTTGTGTTGTGTATACATCTCTCTGGGTCTCGTGTGTGTGTGTTCTAGTGTGGTGTGTGTGTCTAACCCCCCCGGATTGAAAATTCGGGAAACTTCTTGCTTGCCAGGTTGCTTTCAGCTCTACAATTTATTTTGGAAGAAGAATGTTATCAACTGAACTGTGTCCTCCCGACCCTACCAGCAAAATTCATGGGGTGAGGTTCTAACCTCCAGAATGTGACCATATTTGGGAAGAAAAATCTTTACAGAAGTAATTTAATTAATCTAAGGTAATAAGGGTGGTGTCCATGGACTGTAGCCCACCAGGCTCCTCTGTCCATGGGATTCTTCAGGCAAGAATACTGGAGTGGGTTGCCATTTCCTTCTCCAGGGAATCCCATATGACTGATGTCTTTATAAGAAGGGGAAATTTAAACACAGAGGGAAGATGGCACAAAAGAAGACATAGGGAGAAGATGACTTTGGCCATCCACAAGCCCAGAACAGAGGTCTCAGAAAAAAAGCAATCCTGCTGATGCCTTGATCTCAGACTTCCAGCCTCCAGAATTGTGAGACAATACATTTCTGATGTTTAAGCCACCCAGTCTGTGGTACTTTGTTATGAATGCAGCTCTAGTGAATTAATACAAGTGCCTTTCAAAAACTCTTCCAGGAGGCCCAGAGATCTTCCCCACCACCTCCCTTTGGGTGAAATAGGCCTACACGATGGAGGAGAGAACTTACTATACAACAAATCCAAAAACAGGCGTGCTATCACTTGCAGTGCTATACAGTCTCCCTAAGTTGGATCCCTCTTTGTACCATTAGGGGGAGAAAAAAAAAAACTCACTTTATTTTTCGACTTGGAATATCATGGTCTACATCACAAATCTCAGAAAATAAAAAGCTCTGGGAAGCTCCCATTCAGGGCAGTAGCTGAACACAGCTTACTATAAATTCCCCACATGCTTCATTTATTTTCCCTTCACATTGCTTTTAGTACAGATGAAAAGTAAACAAACAAAGTCAGGAAGCATTTACATAAACAGGAAATCTGTGCTGCAGTGATAATTTTCACCATCTCAACAACTGTAACACAAAGAGCCAGATTTGGAGATTACCCTGGACTTGAACCTCTGCCCGTATCCAAGCCAGAGTGACTGAGCAGAGAGCAGGACATCTATCGTGCAAGACACTGATCCTCAAACACTCGGAGCCCAGGCTTAAATGACATGAACAGAAAGAGATATATTTGGTCACCTGAGAATCTCACTCCAATCACAAGGAAACTGCTTGGGAGAAGAACTTTGCTTGAATCAACGGTTAAAGTAACCAGATTTTAAGCATCTAAATATAGTCCTTGTTTGAGAAGATAATGGGATGAGGTGCTATATGCAGGGTAAGTAGGAAAACCTAAAAGCACCTAACTTTGTAATGTTATTGTTAACAACGATAAGCTAAATGAGATCAAACTCAGGATCCCATTTAATTTTCTCAACACCCAGAAGAGACAGGGGCTTTTATTATCCTGATTTTGCAGATGAGGAGACTGAGGCTTAAAGAAGTTAAGAAAATTACAGAAGCTCATGTAATAGTAAGCAGCAGAGCTGGAATTTGAAGGAAGGTCTTTCTTTCTAAAAATCTATGCTTTTAATGATATACTGAGTCCTAATTCCCCAATGAGACCCATTATTTTAAATTTCTTAATGGTGTTTAAATTATAGAGAGCTCTAAAAATCATGAAAAATGATCCATTCAAATAGAGCTTGGGTAATTATCAAGGAATTCTCATTAAAAAAGAAAATTTACAGTAGTTTAGCAAAAGAGCTTTAAAACACTCTATATGTGAACCATGTGAAATGAAGGGGAAATGATGTATATGGAAAGAAAAGCAGGGCATAGAGCTACTTCAAGTATTTCTTGATAAAGAACTACACCAGTGGTAACTAAATCATGGGCTTAACTGTTCAACACAGAGAAAATGACCAAAGCCAAAGCTCTGCACACTCATGAAAATGTGGCATTTATACCATAACCCTTACCTTAGAAAATGCAGCACTTACCTCTCTCTGAAAAAAATTCCAAGCGTGAGTAAGCCACCGGTATCTCGGTAAGCCATAATTTGTCATTCTGGCTTTCAAAGTGACCATGTCTGACCACTGAACTGGAACCTAGAGATTAAAAGAAACAAAATATCAACAACTATAACATTCAAACAGCCACATTCAGACACATATATGTTTACATATTAACAAACAAATCACTCATAGACTCATCCACATATACTTATTGGAATATACTGCAATTGACAAATACTATCTTAAATTAATATTTGTGGTTTAAATTAACTCAGGGTTATTAAATACTTAGTGAATAATCTCTACATGTGCTAAATGAGGAAGTACTTCATACTAAGCAGAATAATGTGAAATCACTTAATGCCAATATCAAGTTTAAGGAAATCATAAACAAATAACTTATGTGTTCTATGGGCTTCCCTGCTGGCACAAACAGTAAAGAATCTGCCTGCAATGTGTTCTATAGATACACCTGAAGAGCTCCTAATAACAAATGATCCCTGCTGAAAAATGCCCTTTGATTTGAGTACCTAATGCTATGAAATTGTTCTTTGAAGTGACTACAGATTATGATACTAAAATAAACAGAGAAGAATTAAGAAGAGAAAGAGTGCAGCTCAAGTCAAGCCTTTCTAGAATAACCTTGTAAATACATTTTCAAGAATTGGATTTTAGAGGCAATTAACAGAGTTTAATCACAACAGAGCTTCAGATACACAACACAACAGTGGCAGGAAATCTAGTTTCAGAGTATCATGCTGTGATTTTCTTATAGCTGAAATTTGATTTATTAAAACATTGTTTTGAATTTTTACAGCTGTCATGAGGGACATTAATCTATAGTTTTCTTTTAATCTCTTTGTCTAGTTTTGGCATCATGATAATCCTGGCTACATAGAAAGAGTTGGAAGGTATTCCCTCCTCTTCAACCTTTTTGGAAGGGTTTGTATAGATTTATCTATAGTGCCACAGGAGAAATGGGGTCACACAAATCCTAGTCTCTCCACATCTGTGGTATTAAAGTAACTCTTAGGAGACTAGACAGACGTCCTCATCTGATCTATGGAGCAATATGAACTGGGCTTAGTCAAGCAAATTTGACACTAATTCAAGATTCATATCTTTTTGAAATCTTATTTTTAACAATAGTAATATCAACAGTAGTTTAAAAATTCCTGGCCACAAAAAATCTTCATTTTGTTCCTTTGTTAAATTTAATTTTTATTACTTGGAAATGCACAATACAAAAGAAAACACTCCAACATCTAGGCACACAACTTTGTTCCCTAAATAAGAGCTGATTGGGTATACCTTGTGTTCATATGGTTTCAACAAAGTTCAGAGAACTAACCAAAGTTCAAGCTACTTCCTATAAATTCTTATTATCTCATATCCTTTGACCATAAAATAAATGGAAATGAAATAAATTCTCTAGAAATGTATAATCTGAAGCAGTTAATATTATTGACAGATTTTTATCTAGAGAAGGAATGATGAATGTTAGGTGAATATGTATAAAAAACAGAAATAATGGGGAAATAGGCTGTCTGATGCCAAATATCTTAATTTGGTTATTGTTGTTGTTCAGTCACTAAGTTGTGTCTGACTCTTTGCAACCGCATGGACTGCAGCACACCAGGCTTCCCTGTCCTTCATTACTTCCCAGAGTTTGCCCAAACTCTTGTTCATTGTGTCGATGATGCCATCAACCATCTCATCCTCTATTGCCCACCTTCTCCTGTCGCCCTCAATCTTTCCCAGCATCAGGACCTTTTTGGTTATTAGATCTGGTTATTAGAACAGTCTTATTTTTAATTTATTTTCCAAAATAAATATAAGTCCTTTCCCTCTTGTGACCACAATCCATCTGAGACTAAATATAGCAAGAAACAGAGGAGGTCATTGAGGTTCTGGCACAAAATACAGTGATCTGGCCATGAAGGAAAATACACATGTATATTGGCTTCTTGCATGGAACAGCTAAGAGCACAAAGCCCATTCTATGTAAAGGCCGGGTTCTGCAAAATTTGGCAGCTAATAAACCTTAATGGCACTTTTCATTCACACTGCTATTAGTGCAAAAGCAATAAAAAAATTCTGACAAACTTTTTTCCTAAAGGACTACTTTCCACATTTCTCTTTTAAACAGCCCTTATTTTATCCTGATGACTTAATGGGGGGGGGGGGGGTTTACACAAGCAAAACAGTGATGTTGCTTCAGCTGGCACAGCAGTGTACACCCATGGAGCACCACTGTGATACTAAGAAAATATTTGCCCATCACCCCTTCGTAGAATAGAAGAAAGTACTTAAAATACATACATTCCAAAAAAAAAAAATTACATTCCTTTCTGTCTCCTCAAGTTCCTTAGAATTGCATTAGAGTCCAAAGATTTCCTTTCAAATACTTAAATTAAGTCATTTCAAACTTGTTATGACTTAGGAAATTAATCAAATATTAGTATGACATATACACTATATAAACCATTTTTAAAATCCACTAGAAAGTAGACTCATTTTGAAAAACCTTTTAATTACCAAAAAAGAACACAAAAGTTAAGCTGAGGCCATCAAGAATTAGATAGTTCAGTTCAGTCACTCAGTCGTGTCCAATTCTGCAACCCCATGGACTGCAGCACACCAAGCTTCCCTGTCAGTCACCAACTCCTGGAGTTTGCTCAAACTCATGACCATCGAGTTGGTAATGCCATCCATCCATGTCATCCTCTGTCTTCCCCTTCTCCTCCTGCCTTCAATCTTTCCCAGCACCAATTTACTGTATAATTACTGTATAATTTATGAGAATTATACAATTTACTATCTATTCTTGAATGTTAAGGAGATCCATGTGTTTTTTGAAATCAGAAACAATTAATGACACCAAAACTGAGTCCCTGGACCCAATTACCACTTCACTTCCTTAACATACCAAGTTTCTAAGGACAGTGTGAAAATATGATTCTCAAAGACAGCAAGAGCCTTTCTATTTTAATGGGACATTTTGTTTTGAAGATAGTACTTAACTTTATATTAAACTAGCTAGAACCTGCCCTGACTTTTCAATTTTTAACACAGAAGAAAATAACCATAAATTCCCTCTTCCTCCTGAGAGTTGTCACATATTGAAAGCATGAGTGTTTTCAGAGGGGTTCAGGGGCGTGGCAGTGTCAAAGGGTAGTCTATATGTAAGCTGAAGTATGTAGAATAGCCACTAGCCTATAATTATCACTTAGTATTGAAACAGAGTCACAGTACAGTAGCAGATTCAACACAGAATCTTTAAAAACTGCATCAGTACCAGAAATGTCTTCAATTTTCTTACACGGCTCCCAAAATGCCTCTCAGAAACAGGTGTAAAAGAATCTCCTCTTCTTAAGAGCTCTTAGGGGCTTCCCTGGTGATCTAGAGGTTAAGACTCCATGCTTCCACTGCAGTGGGCAAGGGTTTGATCCCTGGTCAAGGAACTAAGATCTCATACGCCATGCAGACAAATAAATACATAGTTAAAAATCAATCAAACAAACAAAAAACCTTCTTTATTGAAAAAATAAAAAAGAGTGCTGTTAAGTTTTGAAATGTTGAAGACTAATCTGAAGAACTTGCCACAAATACAAATACTTAGTCCCGGGATTTCCCTCTATTCCAATTTAGCAGGTCTGGCCTAGAGCCTTATACTGTGCATTTTAAAGAATTACTCTGATGGACTCCTGCTGTACACAACTCAAGACTACATGTTGGAAAAAACATCATCTTCCTCAAATAGAATTCTTCTATGAGCCTCAGAGTAGCCAGCCTTCACAGACATGCAAAGGTGCTTGACCTCACTGATAATCAATGCACCAATTTTTCCAATGGAGTGAGCAAAGAATAAAGAAGTAATAATGTCCAGGGGAGCGAAGGTGTGAGTGGTAAACCAAACATGGCTGGTAAAACCTTAAGGTTAAGAAACTCTCATTCTCATTCATTCTAACACACACTTCTTAATTTGGCAGAAGACACTTCAGCTTGCTGTAAACAGGAGGGCCTATTTCCTAGACATCAGCTTACAGCTGAAGGCAGGATTTTATAAGGTTTTCAAGTATATTTTCAAGATTTCTCAAGTCCTGTTGCAAATGTGAACATTTCATATTATTCACTCAGAAGTTCATAAAATTATTTGAGAACATATATTATTTTTGGTTTATTAGATCCATGTTTAAGCAATCTGTGGAATTAAAGACATGTATTGGAGTAGAGGAAATGAAATATTACAAATTATACTTTGGAACTATGATGTAGAGACAGGAGAGAAAACACTACATTTTAGAAGTATTGGGAGTATACATTGTGACAGAAAGCATAAACATTCAAATTAATAATCATGTGCCTAACAACTCCAGAGTATCGGATTTAAAAGGCTGAATGAATACTGTTTCAGATTATGGTTATATTCCATTTTGAACTCACCATTATTTCTTGTTCATATGTCCAAACACCACAAGCCAGTTCTACACAGAAAATGACAAGTAAACTTCCAAAATACTGTAGGAGAACAGAAAATGAATGCTGTTAGGATAGAATCAAAGTAAAATACGGTCATCAGAGACAAGCTAAGTATTATTCAGTGTTGCTCACCCAAAGGACAAGAAAGCAGAGGCATATATTCAAGAAGCTCCCTCCCTTGGGAGCAGATGGGGAAAATTTCAGCAAATTTTGAGGCATCGGCAGGCAACATTCAATACTTACCTAAGTGGGTCATTTGGATAGTGTTCCATTTATCAAATGCTTTTATAATTATCTCTCAACACTAACACTACCTTAGTTTACAAATCAAGAAACTAATGAGAAAAGTATACAATATGACGTGCTGGAGAATGTGCATAATAAATTTTAGAGACCTAGACCACTGCAGCATGTTCTATGTGCTGTTCCTTGCCACTTCTCCAGTCATGCAGCTCACTTTACAGAAGTAAATAGTAAAAGGGTGAGAAAGAATGCGCTTTCTGAAAGTTCACTAATTCCAGCAGAATCAAAACAACTCCACTGGACTTTCTTAGTGGCGCAGTGGGTAAGGATCCGCCTGCCACTGCAGGGGACATGGGTTCAATCCCTGGTCTGGGAAGATTCCACATGCCCAGTGGAATGCCTTAGTGGAGCACCTAAGCCCGTGTGCCCCAACTACTGAGATCAAGCTCCAAAGCCTACAAGCCACAACTACTGAGCCCACAAACCCTACAGAGCCCATAAACCCTACAGCCAGCAAGCCACAACTACTGAGCCCATGGACTGCAACTAGAGAAGCTCATGGGCCTAGAGTTTGTGCTCTGCAACCAGAAAAGCCAGGCCAGCCATGGGAAATTTGTCTTCTCGGGTGCCAAAAAGGTTGGGGACCATTGCTATACAAAAGATAAAGTAGTATTTTCTTAAAGAGATTCCATTTTATAAGCCCTTTTATTTTCACCCTATGTAGTATTTCTGGTCAGTTTCAATCTACTCAGATCTCATTTCCAAGTGCTGCCTTACTTTGAAGATTTTAGCCTTAAAGTAATTAGAAGAAAATTAGTGAACACAGTACTCCAAGTCAGTTTTTCTCCAAATTTAGCTTAATACTTAAGAAATGTCTAGACATGAACAATACCATATCTGCACCTTATATTACAAAAAAACCCAACAAATGTTCAATAACTATATGCTAGGTAAATGTTACCCTTGATAAGATCCTAGGAGAAAGTGAAACTCCAGAAAAAAAAAAAAAATTACACTATGATATACTTTTGCTTCTCAGATCTCCAACCTAAGTTTTGTCCAAAACTGACTTCCGGTTAGGGTTAGGGTGAGATAAAGTCATCCTCGTATTGATTATTGCACAAAGAATCACTCAGTCACTTTTAGTTTAAGGGCTGGATCTAAGAGCAGCATTTATAAAACCTGGTGTTAATCCATAGTTTACACAGAACAAAACCAGCAAAGAATTCAGCAACAGCTCCCGCTGAGCTTTGTTATGGTAGGAAGTGTACATACGTATCACATTTCACTACAAAACCGTCTGTTGTCCTCACCATCACTGAAACATTAGTGGATCTCTCCTGATGATGTCAGCATGTGTCTCTCAAGCTCTGACTCTCCCCTACACACATGGTGTGTGGAGATGATCTGTACTAATCACACTTGCTTCCTGGGTGCCTCAGACAGTAAAGAATCTGCCTGTGATGTGGGACATCTGGGTTCAGTCCCTGGGCCGAGAGGATCCCCTGGAGAAGGGCATGGCAATCGACTCCATTATTTTTGCCTGGAAAATCCCCATGGACAGAGGAGCCTGGAGAGCTACAGTCCATGGTGTCACGAAGAGCTGGACACGACTAAGCGACTCACCACACAATCGCATTTGCAGGGCGACTCTTCCCCTCGTCCTCCACAAATGCTGTCCTAGAACGGTGGGGAAAGCTCTGAATTTGGAGTCGGCCGACAGCAGTTCAAACTCAGCTCTGAAACAACTATGATCTCTGGAAAATCATTAAACTGCCCTGAGTTCAGTCTGCTCATCTGTCTGATGAAGATAGAAAGTCTTCACTGTTATGATCTGACTTGACACATGGGAAAGTGGTTTGGAAAATTTTAAATTGTGAGTTTGTAAAGTATTACCCAAATGCTATTCTGAGGTAGTTTTTGAAATACAATCCTATATGGACCTGTCCTTTGCTCCTGGATTTGCTGTTAATTCCCTGCAGTGTGCTGCAGTTTCTTCCTCATCATTGTTTCCCAGTATCTCATCTCTCGTTCTTTATCATTTTGCATTTCTCCTCCCCCTTGTGTAGTAGAGCTGCGGTACATCAGCTCTCAGCGGCTTCAGCCTTTAAACCAGTTGGCTGCCTCGCCCACGAGTCACTGTGCTCACTAACCTGCCAGGCCATCAATTCTGGCTGGCAGGGATCTTGTTCATAAACATTATTTTATCCTCAGAGCCTAAGGAGCACCTGTCACACAGCAGGTATTTAATAAATGTCGGTGCGAATAATGATCAGCTTACTAACTGAAAAAAAAAAAAATTCAGATTTCCTTGAATTTCTCTGGCTAATTTAAGCTCTGAGTTTCTTGTCAACATTTGATTCCCCTTGACTTCTGCTTACACATTTCTATTCTAAATATTGCCTCTCTGTTTTACTACATGTCTTTTTGGAGGATTATCCTGTGATCGTTCAGTACGCCTTTAAACAATTTACATAGTTAAAGAAAAAGAACCATATGCAAACTCTCCTCATCTTTCCTGAGCTTCTATCAACTGAATATTTTAAATAAACAAAGTCTGAGAAAGTGTATTTATACAGGGGACTTAGAATACAATTATTTGCATTAACAAACTATTTTATTTGCTTTAAAAATGATTTGATATGACTTTCTTAAAAGATCTAAGTTCTACTGTAAGCTAAAATTGTGTTCTATGAATAAGTTTTATACCTAAACATATGTTCATGAAAAAACTGCATCAAATAAAGCAAGCTGATAATAAGATACACCTTCAAAATTACGCAATTAATTAATGATTTTTTTCACTAAATCTCTCAAGCTGAGACTAACTACCTTTCAGTTAAAAAAAAATGAGCATCCTCAACTGGGTTAGATAATAGAAGATTAGATAAAACACTGTAGGTGAAATTGCTTTATTGACTTTTTTCAACTATACAAACGTAAGAACATGAGCTTTGAGATAAAATAGACCTGGCTTCAGATTCTGGCTCATTTACATACCAGTTGGATGACCTTGGGCAAACCACTAAGCCTCAATTTCCTCATCTGGAAAATAAGAATATTAAAATTACCTTGCAGTGCTGCACTGAGGATTTGGCCAGGTAAAGAACTGTCCCATAGGAATCATTACCTAAAGGGTAGCTATTATTAACCATATCCTGGTATCTATTAGAAAATAAACTCCAGGAGTACAAGAAGTACCATTATGTTTTAAATACTTAATACACTGCCTGGCACAGAACACATACTCCATGAATATTTCTTTAATAGATGTAACTATGATTGGAGGATGAGAGCAAGTAAAACTGTTCATTTCATCCTAAAGACAACCAGCCACTTCCACTAGAGAACAGCTAATCCCCCAAGTTATTTGGTGAAATCTTTAGCAAAAATCCCTGTCCACTGAGAATATAACTGGTATTTTACAAAACATCTTTATTAGGAAACTAAAGAAGGAAGGGTGTGGAGGGTGGGGAACTTGACTTCTTTTTTCAAAATACTGAAATCAATTCTTCTGTTATTTTAAACAAAGGTTGGCCACAGAAGGGCAAGAATGGCACAGTTTACTAGTCCCTTTGTCCCCTGGATGTATTTGAGGAGGAAGGTAAAGGCATGGAATCCTGCCTTCCTATTTAACCCTTCATGACTTGTAAATAAACATATCCTCCAAGAGAAATAAAGGGGATTCATTTCCCTTATTAAAGATTATTTCATCTTATTATATGTGTACAGACAAGAGAGCAAAATCTCAAGGAGGTCTTTTCTTAAACAAATATTTATTTATAAAAATAATCTGGTTCCCTGACACTTCCCCCACTCCCCAGAATTTCCCTCTAAATAAAGTAGGTTAAGTACATGCCTTTATCCCTTTTCCCTCTTGAAACTTCACTACAACAACAGTGAAGGGATATTTTTAAAAGACCTAAACCCAGAGGTAAAGGAAAAGAAGACAATAGCAAGTATATTTTGGAAGGTACAAAGCAAATAGATGAATAGCACGTTTCTCAGCAGTCCCCCAAAGCTGAATGCTTAATCAGCAGTGGAGAAAGCTGGGAATAACCTGATTCATACACAGAGCCCCCCAGATGCTCAGGTACGGCAGCCCCAGTATGAGCATCCGCCTGTGGGAGTGGATGAAGGTAAAGCTAAAAAGAGGATGATGTGTGGAAAGGTTGCTTGGGAAGAGATCAGAGGCCTCTGGGCCCCTTCCCTACTATGTAGCTGAGTCACCGCCCACCCCTGCCGGTAAGGGGCAGGGGTCATTCTGAGGAAACAGCAAAACAGGGTCTCAAAACTGGGACACGCGGCACAGTGGAGGATAAAGGAGAACACTAGAAACAGAATAGTTCGAATTTAAATACTTTCCCCACAAAAGTTCAAAACCAAAATAGCACTGGACTTCTCAATAAAACATTGGAAGCTCGAGGCAGCAGAAGGCTGTCTTCAAAATTCAGAGGGAAAAATTCTTTCCAACCTAACATTCTATAGCCGTCAGAATTAACATGTAAGGGTAGCAACAGGGATGCACATGGAGATTATTGTACTAAGTGAAGTAAGTCAGACAGAGAAAG